TGTGTGTGTGTGTGTGTGTGTGTGTACCTTGGGACTGTAGCGGAGCTGGTAGTCCAGGATGTGGTACTGATTCTGAAGAACCGGAACGTTCCACTCTAACGTCAGACTGTTCTCTGAGGACGCCGTCCTCCTCAGGCCAGACACTGGAGCAGGAACTAAAGCAGCCAATCAGACGTCAGCACAGGGACGTTAGTAACACACAAGATCTGGACCAGTAGTGTTGACGTCATACTATGATGTGTTTACACAAGTGTGTGTTGTGTTACTTTGAGTGTGTGTGAACTGTTTCACTGACGTCAGTGACACTCCTGCACATCCTGTTGGTATGAAAGGTATTCTGGGTAATGCAGTGTTTATGTTTGTTTACCGTCTCTGCTGGTGGTGATGTTGACTCTGTCCGAGGCCGGCTCTGATTGGCTGAGAGCAGAGACGCCGTTCAGCGATTGGACGGTGAAAGTGTACTTAGTGTATGGGTGGAGTCCCCAGACGACGACACGCCGCTGAGTCAGACCGCGCTGAGTTGGGCGGTACAGGACGCTGTCATCACACGGAGAACAGGAACCAACCAATCCCTTAAGAGGAGACAAGGGGCGGAGTCAAAGTTCTGGTCTGTCTCCGATTGGTCGAACTTGTTCGGATGGTTCTGGTCTGTGTGGCGTACCTTGGTGGCTGAGGCGGATCCACAGCTGGAGCACAGGACTCTGTAGGTCAGGTCTCCTCGTCCGCCTCGCTCCAGCGGCTCGCTCCATTCCAGAGTCACCATGGTGTCGTTGATCTGGCTCACGATGGAGCGGGGAGCTGAGGGGGGGCCTGGTGGGGGAGGTCAGAGGTCACGGACAGTCCGATAACAACAGCAGACGTTAAGGAGCCCAACGTTTAGACTGACAGGTAAATCAGTGCAGAACGTGAGTCTGTTGTGTTACGTTGTTTTACAACAGCTGCTGCTTCTCATTCCTTCATCATCAGTTTGTTTTTCTTTGTTCATTTGTTTGGAGCTGACACA